GGCAAGATCACATTGTATCTTCTTTGACTAGCATAATCATGATACTCCATTATGGCCCAAACGCCACTATGATGGTTTGAGTTCATTTTGTACATCACGGACCTAATGCTACCATGCATGGTATTTTGGTCACAAATTTGCAAACAAGTGATGAAGAGGGGTATGAATGACGTTTTAGAAGATTTGAGGGTTTCTTCCAATAACTTGAGAAAAATGATATTTTTCATAATTTTTCAAAAAAATATTTTTTGTATAATGTATTTTTTAAAATAATGTTACCTGTAAAATGGATTTGTTGTTTGGAGAGCATATAGATGAAACCTTGAATGTACATTTCTACATTTGAAATCCCAAAAAAGTATACAATGAGGCCATTTACTTATACTATGAGATCATTTAGAGGTCAAAATCTTTTTTAGTTATTAGATGTGAAATCCAATGATTGAAGTATGCTACAACATTCGAGAAATTTTCGTTTGGACATTGTGCTCAATCACTGGCACATCCTCAACCACCTGTTTTCGCATCCAACGATTATTAATGATTGTGACATCCTTGTATCAAAAATAAATAGTCTCATTATATATATAAAAAAAGTTTATATAAGGGGGAGACTTTAAAAAAAAAAAGGTAAAGTCAGTGGGGACTTGGTCCCCATACCCTTTGGTGAGGATGGAAGGGCGAGGCTCTAAAAAAAGAGGGTAAAGTCGGAGGGGACTTGGGCCCTTACCCTTTGGTGAGAATAAAAAGGCGAGGCTCTCAACAATCAATTTAGGGCGCACCTCAAGAATCGACTAAAAGAGGTTGTTTTGAGCCCAAAAATGATCGTCTCGACCTCAAGATGTATGAACATGAGAAAAAATAGATTTCAAGTCTTAGAAATAGTGCAATCTTATAATACATTTTTGGATCATCAATTTTTCAGATTTTTCAGTGTTCATAGATCTGCTCTATATACACTACTTTTAAAGTTCAAAATTTTATAATTAGATATAAAAATAAAGTTTCAGGCTATCACAAAGATTTTTAGTATTAAAACAACATCGTTTGATACTATTTGAAGGTGCACTATACTTTGATTGTTTAGAGCCTTGGCCCTATACAAACCACACACCCTTATATAACTTTCCTACTTTAAGTACAAATCACAATCACTCATATTCCAAATCGGATGGTTGTCACTTGTCAGTGTACTTTAAATAAATACTCCAAGCAAGCGTGGATAATAGGTTAGGCCGACCCACCAACCCCGATGGGTCAACTCGATCTGGGTCCAAGTCTGCATCCTATTTCTAGACCTGATGGGTCGGGTTAGGGTCCAAAAGTAGGGACCCGACATCACGTTTGGTCAGGACCTGATTTAGGTTGACCTGACCCCACCCGACCCGAATATTTTCGGTTGTATAATTTATTTATATTATATAATCTAATATTATTTCATTATATTTTTTTGTAGACCATATGAAATAATTTTTTCCATTTAGTAGCTCGAAGCATAAAGGGATTCTTAAGATGTTTTCTCTCTCTTCCCTTCAACTATTTTTTCTGTTGAGAGAAATATATGAAAAATAAGTAGTGCTTGATTCTAACGGGATTTGAAATTGTAGAAAAAAAATTGAAATTAAAATACGAAATGAGGTTATGTCCATCATATCTGCCCAGATTCAATCTGGGTTGTTGGATTCATATGTAGCTGTAAGCCCACTGGAGGATGGATTGAATATTTCTTATTTTTATTGTTTTGTGGGCGTATTTGATTGCTCTCCACTGATCTTCTATTGGGTATTGATCAAATTAAACTGTCCGTTTAGTTTTTCTTTTTCAAATTGCAATTGGGCTTGTGCAAACAGCGAGAGAGAGAGAGAGAGAGAACAATCCACAAATCGCAGCAAAAATGGGCAGCAAGGACTTCTCCCCTTACGATGCTTGATATTCACAAACTTGGGCAATTCCATAACCTAGAAAACGTTACCCTATGGTGGTATACAATGTTCTCTTATCCACATTGTTCGATTGCCTTTGGGTTATTGTGTTCCCTTTTAATTTGTAAAAATATTATGTCAAGAGACTATTTTTGTACTATCAAAGCAAGGGAAAGGAGTTTTGAAAGAATATTAAGCGGATTAAATGTATATATATAGAAGCCACTATGCAATGGCTATGGGCGAGAATAAACAGTATTTTCGCCTATAAGCTGGGTACCGTCTGATTTTTTCAGGCGCCGTGGATTAAAAGACTGCAACACGCCGTGGATTAAAAGACCGCAACATACATAGTAGGTCCTTGTGATCAGTGTTCGCAAAATCGAACCAGAACGGTTAACCGATCATGAGGTTGAGAGTGGCTCAGAACCAGACTAATCGGGACAGTTAACTGGACTAACCGGTAAGCAGATTTTTTTAAAAAAAGATGGGTCAAAAACCCTCGAAACATTTTAGAAAAATAAAAAAAATAGAAAAACTTAGATTAAGTCATATATAAGTCATTTTTCTTTTTTCTTTTCATCTTCTAGACTGATCATATATTAGTCATTTGGATCAAGTTGGAAGAATAGTGCAATAGAAAATCATTGCAAATTCACAAGACTTCTTCTACAGTAATTCAATAGATTCTCACTAAATAGCGGTAAGTAGTGTTGCAATAAATATACCGGTAACTGTTATATAAAAGGTCGTAACTGTTCCAAAGTCCAAATTAGATGTGGCTGAAAATTTGTGACAGACCAACCTGCAAAAAGATACGATTGAAAGATAAAATGTAGCTCAGAATGAAGTACCTTTACCGCAATGCTATGATTTCCTATCAAAAGCCCAAGTAATTCATTGTTTTATAAAGGAAACTTAACCAAAAAACATGAATGTTTTAATACTATTCAGTCAACACAAACTCATTCCACATTTCCACACTGAAGAAGAAAGTAAGAAAGTAGAACAAAAAAACATACTTTTATAAAAAAATATATAACATTACAAGCAATCCAACAAGCTCACCAAAAATATATAATATTAAAAACAAAGAAATTTTTTTTTTTTGCATATTCATCACAAAAAAACATATTTTTGTAAAAAAAAATATAACATTAAAAACAATCCAAGAAGCTCACTAAAAATATATAACATTAAAAAGAAAGAAATATTTTTTTTCTCATAGCCATCACAAAAAACCATATTTTTATAAAAAGATACATAACATTAAAATCAATCCAAGCTTACCAAAAATATATAACATTAAAAATAATGAAATATTTTTTTCTCATATTCATCACAAAACAAACATATTTTTGTAAAAAAAGTATTGATCACATTAAAAACAATCCAACAAGCTCACCAAAAATATAGAACATTAAAAAGAACGAAATTTTTTTTCTCATATTCATCACAAAAAAAATATTTTTATAAAAAATATATAACATTAAAAACAATCTAACAAGCTCACCAAAAATATATAACATTAAAAAGAAAGAAATGTTTTTCTCATATTCATCACAATAAAACATATTTCTGTAAAAAAAAAAATATAACATTAAAAACAATCCAACAAGCTCACCAAAAATATATAAAATTAAAAAGAAAGAATATATTTTTTTCTTATGTCCATCACAAATAACATATTTTTATACAAAAAAAGTAATTTTTCTAAGAAACATTCTTTTTTTAAGAACCCTAAAATCGAGCCAAAGAAAACAGAAACTTTAGAGTCAAAATCAACCCCAAATCTTTCATTTGTTGAACAAATTGATATGAGGATATGATAGATACTTCAATTATGATTAAAATGCCCCAAATATCATGAAAGATCAATTCACTATTGATATCATTCATCAAAAAATAGCTGATATTTCACTTCATGCAATTTTCAAAACAAAAACGCAGCAAAAAAAAATTCATATAAATAAATATACTCAATGATAAATCAACATACCTGATGTATTCGATTGATGAAGCCTTGATGATCAAAATTAACTGATCAATTCATGTTTTGCAGCCTTTGAACCTTATTTAATATGATAAATCAACATACTTAGATGTTTTCAATTGATGAAGTCTTGTGCATTCACGTTCAAAGGCAAACTACGATGACAATGACTCTATGTCAAATAATGGCCGTTATTTAATATGATACCGTTATGAACGTTATCTTACCTGTTATATCGGTTTTGAATTAAAATCGCCGGTTCGACATCAAACCGACTGATTTTGGTGCTAAATTTTTTTGGAGGTCCCTGACGTTTTACTAGTACCACAAAACATGCCTTAACAGAAGTCGGTACCTCGCCGGTACTGATCTAACCAGCCGGTTTTGCAAACATGGGTTGCGATAAAAAAACACGCGGAAACCGCCACAGATCATGCGTCGTCCGTTGTGGCTCTGTTCAATAAATTGCCACGAACATATCATGTCCGTGGTGGGACGAAACACTATTCAAAATTAACTATATGCATTTTTTAAGAGTTTATATATATATATATATATATATGGACATGGTTTCTATGCATCCAGCCCGCATATTGTAGAATGCGGACTTGGCAATAAATGTATTTTTTAACTATAATTTGATCATAATTTTTAGAGAAAATATAATCTTTAACATGTAGATCATTAATATGAAAAAAAATTGAAAATTAAAAATAATAATTATATTAAAAAAACATTTGGACCGTTAGTTACAATTGTTTATAGATGGACCACCTATTTGCATCCTTCTTCAAGATGGATGTTTTATACCTTTGGACCGCATA